TTTCTCACAAATTTCTCATCTGACCTTTTCTGTGATGCCTGCACACCAGCCAACCAGTAATTACTCGAAGAGCAAACAGAAACAGTTGACACATTATAATTAAAAATGGAACTATTGGAAAATGAGTCAGAGGTGTTATCCTCATACTTTAACAAGCACCAGCTGCCTATACACACGTATTAGCTTCCATCACCCCTTCAACTCTGCTCTTATTCATCTAGACACTGAACTAGCATTACTGGTAAGCCAGAATCATAGAAAGCAACAGCTTACCGACATTTCGTGGTTGTAATCATCCTCTCAGGAGCTTTTTTTTTTTTTTTTTTTTTTTTTTCAGTGGCTTTTTTTTTCTTTTTGCCAGTGCTCAATCTCTCTAGCTCACTAACCCTGTGAAGAATTTGGAAAACAATACTCAAAAACAACTGCCATTTGAATAGCTGAGCTCCCTACCATCTCACTGCTTTTGCATCACGCATTCCTGTGTGATCTGCTTTCAGTGCTGCAGGGGGACAAGAAGGAAGGAAAACGCTTGGGAGCACCAAACCTGCCCCTGATAATTTACTGCTCTATCTGAGTTTGTAATAAACCTAAAACTCAGTCCACAAGGCAACCTTTCCCCTGTCCAGGACAACAGGAGAGCTGTGCTGTTCCGCCTGCCTTTGAGCACACCTATCACAGAAAGAGCAATTATGGGTGTTAATGGGGCCAGGAGAACCACAAGACAAACGCTTCGAAAGACGAGTGCGCTACACCCAGCTTCCACCTATTTTGAGTATATGGCACGCACTGAGGTCAAGCACTAAGGATTTTAAATAGATTTCTTCAGCACAAGATACCTCAAAACAAATGTTTTACCTTTACAGTTTGCTTAGTGTTCTAAGCAAACTGTCACGCTGCTTGCATTAAAAGTTCTCCCTTAACACCAGGAAAACACCAACTCCTGCAAGTGTTGCTTCTCTTTAGTCTCTTTATGCTTGACAAGCTCAAGAAAAACATAAGAAAAGTATTTAGAGATTTAAGAAAAAGATTGCATTTTTCAAGAGGCACCTAAAAGTTCCCAGACTTATCATTCCCTTATTTTAAGGCATGGAATGAGATGACAGCTAACAATAAAACAAAGACAAGCAGGATTTGAGCTTCACAGCCCAGCATCTCCATGAGGTTCTGCGAGCCGCAGTGAGGCACTTTGTGCTGTTTTAGGCACAAAAGCGGCCAGAGCTGAGGCTCTGCATAACCCAGTTATGGTCTCAGGGGCAGCAGGACGACTGTTAACAGCAACAGTCCAGCCTCACCATTATGGGAGCAGAATATGTTACCTAATGTGAGCAAAACACTTCTAGTTACTTAACAGCACTGAGGGCTCTTGCCACCAGAAATGATCCAAGCAAAGATATGGAACCTGCCCAAAAGGGGTCCTTCAAGTCTCCTAACGTGGAGCAGAGAGCAGGGAAAGGGCTCACACACCGCCAGGCCTCTCGGGATAGATTTTTCTTATTTAAAAATCTAAGAATAAAGGATAAAGCCGGCAGCGGGGGCAGCGCTAAATCCTCCCGCCCGCCTCACCACCCCGGGCCGCATCCGCAACCCACTGGGAGCTGGGGGGGGCCAGTGGGACAAGGCGCAAGTTTTCCACTAAAAACAGCCCCAAATGCCCAAGGCGAACAGCGGGAGAGGAGGCGAAGATAAAATCTCAACCTCCAAAGCGCGTGGGGCTTTTTTTCCCCGCTTTTTCCCCTCCAAAAAAACCCACATAAACAGACCAAAAGAGCCGCCCCCG